GCCAAGAGGGTAGAGGAGCAGGAGGAGGGAGAGGAAGAGGCCGTGGAGGCCGTGGCGGTCGCGGTGGCGGAGCTGCAAACATGAAGAGCGGAGACAACGACAAGGACCCGAGCAACGATCTGTACCCGGGTCCATTCTACTTCGTGTCGACGCAAGTACCGACTGGTCCAGAGAAGGATGAAGGCTTTGAGGTGCCAGCAGGTGTGGGGAAGGTGACTCTACACCCTCTGGACTATTGGGTGATTGATAGTTGCGCTACCTATAGTATGACACCTCGCCCGGACTTGCTCACCAAACTCGAACCGTCACCGATGAAGCATGTCACATCAGCTTTGGGGCAGCGAGCGGAGGTGAAAGGCATGGGCAAGGCCATGTTTAAGGATGCTGATGGGAAGATGGTGGGCCTCAAGAATGTGCTTTGGGTGCCCAGCCTTGCTGCCAACCTGATTTCCGTGCGGCGGTTGGCAAAGGCCGGCATGGACATGAACTCAAAGGGAGCCAAGACCTACACCGCAAGGCTTGGCGATCGGATTCTTTGGGACCTTCATGAGGACAAAGATGTCTACAACAAGATGTGGCAGATCCCTATGGTCCCAATGCCTAAGGAGAGGCAAGTGGCAGCAAGCGTCAGCACCAAAGGTGGAGCGGTTGGTAGCGGCGATTGCACGGACGGTGGCGCTAAGGAGAAGGAGTCCAAGAAGTGCAATCTTGGAGGGACCAGCAAGCTTGGTGAACCTATGGAGAGAGGTGCAGCAGCCAAGGAGCAGCAAAAGGGTGAGGAGAACCCCGAGGCATCAGCGGAGGAGGACTACGGCGAGAGTATGTGGGGTGCTATTGCGAGCGCGGCATTCTCCAATCCAACTTCGGCTACGGGGGAGTGTGATTGGCTCACCTTGCATCGGCGCATGGGGCATGTGGCCCTGCCCATCTTGCAGTAGCTAGTGAAGAATGAGATGGTTGCTGGCATACGTGTGAAGGGGGAGCCCGATGAGGTACTTGGCTGCCTGACGTGCATGCAAGCCAAGTTCACCCGTTTCCCATTCTCTAGTTCGGAGGCAACGGCTAAGGCACCACTTGATGAGGTGGTGATGGACGTGGTGGGCCCCCTGAAGCTTGGAGCTGCTGGAGCTGAGTACTTCCTCACTATTGTGGACGTCTACACCCGTATGACTTGGGTGTACGTGCTGGCCAAGAAGAGCGACGTGGCTGAAACGTTGAAGGCGGATTGGTTCCCGATGGTGGAGCGGCAACAAGACCGTATAGTCAAGTCAATCCGCACCGATCGAGGGGGAGAGTTCCTGAACAAGGAGTTTGGGTTGTGGCTGAAGAAGAATGGTATTCGGCACTCCCTCACCATGCCATACTCCCCTGCAATGAACGGCATCACCGAGCGAGCGAACCGCACAATCACGGAGGCGGCACGCGGGTTGCTCATTGAAGCCGGGCTACCCGACTATTTCTGGCCTAATGCGATGCAGAGCGCGTGTGTGGCCAAGAACCGAGCCTTGACTCATGTGGAAGCAGACAAATAGGTGCCCTATGTGGAGTGGCTAGGAAGGAAGCCAAAGGTGGATATGCTTCGGGTGTTCGGGTGCATGTGCATGGCGCTCGTGCCTAAGCATCTTCGGCACAACAAGCTTGGTGCCAAGGCGGTGTGGGCCGTGCAGTTGGGCATGGCTCAAAACAGCAAGGGATGGCTTCTTTGGGACCCATTCACCAAGAAGTTCTTGGTGAGCAGGGACTGCAAGTTCATGGAGAACTTCATGTACAAAGATTGGAAGGCGGAGAATGAGGCGAAGATAGGCGTGCGGTTTGGGGAGGTGAAGAGTTCCGGTTTGGAGCATGTGGAGCTGCCTTTGGAGCTGAGCAGCGGCAGCACAACCACGAGGGAATCCTCCCTTGTGAATGGGGGAGATGAGGCCAATGATGCAGAGGAAGAAGAGGAGGAGGTGCAGCAAGTGAGCGAGCGTGCACCGTCACTCCCTTCCCGTACTACGAGTGCTCCACGGATCCGAGCCACACCGCAGCAACGCCAAGGCTTTCAAGTCCCTGCAGCTGAGGAGGAAGGAAGAGGCAAGAGGAGAGTTCAACCCCCTAATAGGCTGACCTATGATGGGCTGGGAAAGCAGGGCAAGACAGCCCTGGCCGGAGCGGCAATGATGGTCGGAGACGACGAGGAGAGTGACTACGAGGAGTGTGCCTTCGCGTTCTTCTCTCCGGTGGAGATGCTGGGAGAACCAGTAACTCTCAAGGAGGCTTTGGAGAGTAGTGATGCTGAGGAGTGGAAGAAGGCCATGGAGAGTGAGCTGAAGAGCATCAAAGAGAATGACACGTTTGAATTGGTGGAGCTACCGGAGGGGCGTACGACGATAACGTCCAAGTGGCTCTTCAAAATCAAGTCGGATGCCGACGGCAAGATCGAGCGCTACAAGTCTAGGCTTGTAGCCAAGGGGTACCAGCAGAAGGAGAAGGTGGACTTCAAGGAGCTCTTTGCCCCTGTGGTGAAGCCGACGACGTTGCGAACCCTATTCGCGGGAGCCGCCATCAAAGGATGGGTAGTAAAACAAATGGACATCGTAACGGCATTCCTTAACGGCATCCTTGAGGAGGAGATTTTTATGGCGCAGCCAGAGGGGTTTGATGATGGTAGTGGCAGAGTGTGGAAGCTGAAGAAGGCCCTCTATGGGCTGAAGCAGGCCCCTAGGCAACGGTACATGAAGCTGCGCGAAGTGTTGGAGGGGATCGGCTTCACTCCCTCAACGGCCGATCACTCCTTGTTCATGCTTGGCAAGGGGGAGCAGAGGAGCTTCATGGTGGTTTATGTGGATGACATTCTTATATTCTCACCCTCCTCTGACCTTGTGAAGGAGGCGATGCTGAAGCTGCATGACAAGTTCAAGTGCAAGTCCCTTGGTGACGTGAACTTCTACCTTGGGCTCCACATTGAACGAGACGTGGAGAAGCGGAGCATGCGAGTGTACCAACGGAAGTACCTGGAGGCGTTGGCTGCCAACTTTGGCCAGAGTGAAGGTCATGTGGCTACTCCCTTTCTCTCTAGGTTCAAGTGTGTGAAGGGACCAGAGGAGGAGAGCATTTGTGAAGAGGAGAGGCGCCGTTTTCACTCGTTGGTGGGCCTCATGTATGCGGCGGTAAACACCCGACCGGACGTCGCGTTTGCTACGGGCAGCTGGCTAGGGTTGTGCAATGCCCTAATGAGGAGCAGGTAGCAGCTGGAATGAGGGTGGCCAAGTATCTTGGCCAAACACCGACCGTTGAGCTGCAATACTCGGCGGCGGCACAAACGCGCCAAAAGGGCGCGGATGGTGTTGAGCCCGGGCGTTTGTTCCTCACCGCCTACTGGGATGTGTCATATGCATCGGAACCAGAGGACATGACAAGTGTGGGAGGCTTCATATGCTGTGTTGGTGGAGGCCCAACTGCTTGGGAGAGCAAGAAGCAGGTTGACCAAGCTTTGAGCTCGGTGGAGTCCGAGTACATGGCACTCTTCCGTGCCGTACGGGAGATTGTGTGGCAGCGGCGTTTGTTGGCTGAATTGGGAGAGGAGCAGCAAGGACCTACCCCACTCTATTGTGACAACCAGGGTGCAATTGCTCTTGCTAAGAACCCTGTGTTGCATGGACTCACATAGCACATGAGGGTGAAGTGGCATTGGACGAGGAGCATGGTGACCGCGGGTGAAGTTGAGTTGCGGTACGTGAAGACCACGGGGCAGCCGGCTGACATGATGACTAAGAGGCTGGTAGAGCAGCAGCATTGGAAGTGTTGCAAGCTGGCTGGGATGGCTCTGAACTGAGAGAGCAACATATCCTAAGGCCAACAATCCGAGGGGGAGTTTGTTGGTGCAACCCTACGGTTTGCACTCGGCTTGTTGTCCGTGTGCGTGCATGTGTGTGTGTGTATGGAATGGTATGAGGGCATGGGATAATATATATTTCATGCTTATAATTGTGTGTGAATGTTGAGTCATGATGTCGAGTGTGTGTGTCGAGCCAATAGCGAGTTATCGCTAGACGCGTGTTACGCGGTCGTTTGTGTCTCGCGCGCGGTTTCTTATTTTTGTCGTGCGCGGTTTCTATTTTGTCCTGTGTCGAACATTCGGTGTGTCGCAGGTGTGTGCAGCAGACCCATCAAGAACTCAAGGATGACTTTGTGATGAAGAGCCCGAGCCTTGGTGTCAAGCCTCAAGTGATTTCGAAGCTCGCCAAAAGGGTACACCTCAAGATATTGAAGATAGTTACATTACTTTGTGTAGTGTAACATTTCACTTGGTGTAGGCCCTAGTGAAGGGTAGTTTCGAGACCCTTCGTGGTTGGGGACAGTGTGGCACTGTTCCACATCACTGTACCTCGGCTCTTGGGGTTTGTAGGAGCTAGGAGTCATTCCCAACTCGTAACTCTTCATATCTCTTCCTATCTTGTGTTCTAAGACTATGTTGCTGCCATAGTGCCGTTCGTTCAAACCAACGCTGTGTCGTCAGTTCTTAATAAAAGGGTGCGATTTTAATTGCCTATTGTAGGCGACGTTAAGGCGCTCCAGATCCAAGTTGAAAGAAATCATTTGAAGTTGTGAGCAGATCGTTATGAACGTTTGAAGCCGCTGTGCAGAAATCCGAATGTGCACTCTATCTTTCGTTTTAGGCACATTGGAGCCTACTGTGACTATAACAATGAACACGCATACAAGAGCTCACCTCAACGTCAAACGTTGAGTATTTCGATAGAGTGCTGTCATCATCAGATGTTTCCCCCTCTGCCTGAGACAACACCCATTGTTGTTGTTCTGGTGTGCGTACAATATGTTCCATGTTTACTGATGAGAGGTTGTCCTGCTGCAATAAGAAAAACATAGCAACTAAAATTGGGCCACTAAAAGGTATAGAGAGGATAGGTGACCAAGGTACAAAGGGGTAGACAAAGACATGCCATAGTTAGAACAGGAGGCGATGTTAAAGGGAACCCATTTACCCCCTGCTGCAACACCTAAGGGTCAGTGGGAGATTGGGAGGAGGTAGGAAGGGGAGTGGGGATGAGGATTTCTTGCTGCAAATGGCTGTTGGCAGCACGTGCCCCACTGGCGCTCTGAAAGGGACCCTGCTTTCCCATTGCTCCACACCGGAGCAAGATATGGAGAAAGGGACGAGGTATGCAGTAAAGTGGGGATGAGTATTTGATGCTGCTGATGGCTAGTGGCAGCATTTGCAGAAAAGTAGCGCTTTGACAAGGATACTGTCTACCCCTTGCTCCACACCTGGGGGGCAAAGGGAGATAGGGAGGAGGTAGGAAGGGGAGTGGGGATGAGGATTTGAAGCTGCCAAGGGCTGGGGTCAGCATGTGCGTGAGGATGGGCGTGAGGATTTGATCCTGCTAAGGTTTAGTGGCTGCTCATGCTGCAGCTAAGTGTTGTGCCGGAACACAAACTCACTGAATTACCAGAGATCACATTACCCTATCCACGTAGCAAATGCTGCAGGGCTTCATGCAGCGCTGGCCGGAGAGTGTGCATGTCAATTTGCCCGATTCTGGGTAGTCAGCTGCCCACCCGAGCAGCAGCGGTATCACCTTGTGCTCGACACCGTTCGCGTCCTTCAGTAGTACACCCCTGCATATGTCACACAACAATACGGCTGTTGGACCGAGTTACAAGCGCATCATGTCCAGGGGGCAGAAACCTACAATCAGAATGCAAGTAAGTACACACTTATGTCTGTACAAACATCTCATCTTACCTCTCTTTCAGCTGAACCAGAGGTTCCATCAACTTGGCCACGCAGGTGTTGAAATTCTCAACCTTCAGGTCATTTGGCATGTCTTTGGGAGGTATAGGGAGCATTGCTAGCAATGAATGCCCTGCTGGACCCCGCCGCTTAGGAAAAGGGATGTTGACAAGTGTCATCATAACTGGATGGGCCTGCTTTTTGCCATTACTGCTGAGGTGCGTGACGTCGCTGTAGAAAATGAGAGCGGCTATCACAACATCAGGTCCTACCAATTCCTGCATGCAAAATTCAGGTAGAAAGCATAGTTGGGTTTCAGCTGAGGATTTCCCGGGTTCACATAGGGGAGGAGATAGTAACCTTGCACTTGAAGCCAAGAAACTGGATGGCACATCTAAAGCTCAAATGTACTGAGAGACTAAACACAACATGGGACAACGTACCTGAGCATCATGCCACCATGTCCCAGTCTCTGCTGTGGTGTAGGCACGCTGTCGACTATCCGAATCGACCTCCTTCCGTGGCCTGAAACGAAAGCCGCTGGAGTTCTGTTTGGCAGACCACATGTCTCCCAGAGCCTGAAAAAAACCCATGGGGGCAAACATACGCCGGGCACAAATGGGTAACACAGGTGGGATGCAGCAAGGTAGCAGCGAGTACAAGGCCAACAGAGCAAGTACTAGCAGGCTACCGTGCTACTAACACGTTTACTAGACCTGAGAACAATGCACGACGCCACATGAACATGGAAGTAATACATGGGTACATGGCGGATATAGCAACAGGGAAGCGAGACATGGGAGCAGGGAAGTGGGACACGGGAACATGATAGGGAGACATGGTATCACAGCAAGTTGACATGGGAATAGGAAAGAGAGTCCCAGAATCAGAGAAGCATGTGTTGGTTTGGCATAAGAGAAGTGAGTCATGTGAGCAATGGCTAGGAGACATGATAACGCGGCAGTGTGGCATGGGAATACTACAACAAGACATGGAAACAGGGAGGCTAGACATGGGAGCAGCAAACTGAGGCATGATAGCAGGGAACTGAGACATGCGAGAAAGACATGTGAGACATGTCCACGGGAAAGTGAGACATGCGAGAAGAGTAGTGAGACATGTCAGCAGGGAACTGAGACATGTCAGCAGGGGAAGTGAGACATGTCAGCAGGGAACTGAGGCATGTCAGCAGGGGAAGTGAGACATGTCAGCAGGGAACTGAGGCATGCGAGAAGGGAAGTGAGGGATGTGAGCAATTGAGTCAGACATGGGAGAAAATGTCTGAGGGAGCTAATAAGTGGGACATAGCAACAGGAGGTGATGATGGTAACATGGCATGGAGACATGGTATCACGGCAGTGTGACATAAGAACAGGGAAGCGATACAAAGAAACAAAGAAGCGAGACACTGCAGCTGGTGAGAGGGAAGGGAAGGGAGACATGGAGATCAGGGGAGGAAGACACGGCAGCAGGGGAGAGAGCAGGGAAGGGAGACATGGCAGCAGGGGAGAGAGCAGGGAAGGGAGACATGGCAGCAGGGGAGAGAGCAGGGAAGGGAGACATGGCAGCAGGGGAGAGAGCAGGGAAAGGAGACATGGCAGCAGGGGAGAGAGCAGGGAAGGGAGACATGGCAGCAGGGGAGAGAGCAGGGAAGGAAGACATGGCAGCAGGGGAGAGAGCAAGGAAGGGAGACATGGCAGCAGGGGAGAGAGCAGGGAAGGGAGACATGGCAGCAGGGGAGAGAGCAGGGAAGGGAGACATGGCAGCAGGAAAGAGAGCAGGGAAGGGAGACATGGCAGCAGGGGAGAGAGCAGGGAAGGGAGACATGGCAGCAGGGGAGAGAGCAGGGAAGGGAGACATGGCAGCAGGGGAGAGAGCAGGGAAGGGAGACATGGCAGCAGGGGAGAGAGCAGGGAAGGGAGACATGGCAGCAGGGGAGAGAGCAGGGACGGGAGACATGGCATTACTTACGTGGAGTGGATTTCGGTGCAGCATGACCTGATCAGGCCAACCCTCGACCACGATGGTGGTTGTCATGTAGCCGCGCCCGGTGCTTGCCAAGTACTCGAGATGGAGCCTTTCAAGATCGCGCGAGTTTGAAATGTTGGCGTCGACGAGGTTCTTTGCTAATTCTAGATGCAATAGAAGCTGCAGCAGTCGGTTTGTATTCATCTTTGACAGTCCGTCACCCCCATTCACGCCGTCCACGAGCTGCAGCAACTTTAAAAGCGCTGGGGTGATCTTCACACTTGGAGATGATGATGCACATGTGTCCGCCCCGCAATCTGGTGGCGGTGCAGGGGGAATTACCGACGGTCCCTCCTCGACGGGATCGGAGGATGTGGAGGTGGAGGGCATATCATCACGAGCGCCCGTCTCGCCGTCTCCAGCAGACACTGGAGACGCCATCTCAGCATCGCAATTGGCCTGTGGAATGTGTGATTGCGGGCGTTGTGAGGGGCTATCATCTGCAGCGTCCACCCTACGTCTAACGCAGCGCTTGTAGGTAGGAGCAGGGACGGCATACACGACCCCAACACCTCCGTGCGCAGAGGTGTCTGGTGCTCCTCGCCATGATCGCCGTCCTCGCCATGGCGCGCATGGCGAGTTTCCGCCTAGATACCCGCCCAGCACTTGCGCATTTGGGCAGCATAGGCCGCATACGCTGCAGAAACAGGTCTCCGCGCAATCCATCTAATCAATAGCATAATATGTTCGGACCCGTGGCGATTGGTACAAGATCTAAGACGCCCGCATAATGGCATCAGTATGCCTACTAAACACGAAATGACCAGACAATGGAGTAGCAGCTGGTGGACGCGAAAACAGTCGGTCGACGTGACTGTAGTGATTGCTATTGTCGCGCCACGCCTACAATGGAAGCTAGTAGCTCTAAAAGGGAATGGCGGGAAAAAAACGCCAGCGGCGTAGAGAGATTGGCGACGCCTGACGCAGCAAAGCGCATTAGGGTTTCTCATGGTTGGGTGGTAGCATGCCTTGGAGGGTCGGAAATTCAAACTTAGGAAAACTCGGACATACGAATCTGTACCCTATATAGCTGAACCTAATCAACTATATTTGCTTGAGGTAGATACTAAACTATCAACTTTGGTTGAAAGTCCAACTACGCAGTTCTAATTTGATGATTACGTCTGTCTGATCTACACACAAACAATACACGTACCATCATGCTTGCTAAACACAAAATGACAACGCTAAACCATGATACAATTGTACGCCATCCAATGTTCAAACGGCACTGCGTGTTACTTCAGCCTATCATGGCACATTATTCAACTAACCTTGATGAAAGAGTTGGAAACATGAGAGGGATCTAGAATTATTGCAAGGCGTGCCTCCCCCAAAAATCAGAGCATACAGAGTAGTAGAGGTTGGAGAAATCACCAGAAGTGCATAATCAGCAACGTGGCTGGAAATGTAACTGTTGCATACAGAGCCAGGCATGAAATACCTATCTAACCTTGTTGGAAAGACCTGGAAACATGTGAGGGATCTAGAACTAGTGCAAGGAGTGCCTCATCCAAGAATCAGAGCATGCAGAGAATTAGAGGTTGGTGAATTTACTAAAAGTGCGTAAGTAGGCAACGTCGCTGGAAGTAGAGCTGCTGCATACAGAGCAAGGCATGAAATACATATCTAACCTTGTTGGAAAGACCTGGAAACTTGTGAGGGTTCTAAAACTATTGCAAGGAGCGCCTCATCCAAAAATCAGAGCATGTGAAGCAGAATAGGTTGGTGAATTCACTAAAAGTGCGTAAGCCGTCAACGTTGCTGTAAGTAGAATTGCTGCATGCATAGCAAGGCATGAGATACATATCTAACTTCTGTGGAAAGACCTGGAACATAATCATAGTGGTTATGGGCCATTGATGACATTGTGAGGCGAATGTATCTCAAGCCATCATCCAACCTAAGAGCAGTGTTTGGGCATTCTGACTGCTGGAATAAGACAATTTGACCATAAAAATATTGGCTAGTTCAAAATATAACATAAAAAGAAAACCCATATACTCGGCCAAATCTGAGGCTCCCACATCTTGTATGAGAGATTCAAAACTGTATTATTATTACGAGTGCAATTGAGTGAACGAACGAGGGTTGCACTATCGAAGCAAGAGTCCAATGAGCGAAGGCATGAGCGAAGAATATATAGCGAAACTACAGTGGTAACGGTAATGGACTGTGGTTGTCGTGCGACGGGCCTGGGACTGAGGTTTGGGAAAAAGTGTCGAAGCGGAGGCCCGGAGCGCGGGTTACCCGCCGAGCCGTGAGGTCGGGGTGCGATGTGCGAAGGTGGCGGGCGGATTGTCGATGCGGGGGTTGCGAGTGGTAACGGTGCTGACTGTGGTGCTACAGTGATGTACGCATTGAGTAGGGATGCGAAGTAAGGAAAAGGAATTTTCCTTACAATTATGCATAACACATCCATTATTGGACATGTCATCTTGTAACAATCAGGACTGTCCCCTAAAGCCCAACTTTCTTCAACCATCGCTCGTGAAGTGAGTTTGCGTCAGTGTGTGTCATCTATGCTGAGCTGTCACGAAATGCTGTCATATTTTACCACAGGTCGAAGGATCGAAGCAAACACTACTGCACATTTATGGTCTCTTTCGCTGCACTGTCGCGTTTCGTTGCTACGTTGTCCTAGCAGCCAAAACGACCCAGCTATCTTTGCCCGTGAAATTCAGTTAACTGTGCACGCGCATTAAATGCTGGCTTCAATTTACATGCGCTGGCAACTCTGTGCCAATATGCCCTTATCACCAACCTGCACTTACTAAATTATGCGCTTTATTGGCATAATTGTGCCACACGTCGAAGTTCATGTTCGCCCCCAGACAGAAGAAATTAAACAGTGCGCGTTTTTGTTTCCTCTCCCCGCACGTTTCTTTCCTGACTTTTACGATTTTAACGCTCACAAAATAGCTCACTCTTTTCGAGAGGGGATGAGTTTTGCAGACGCACAGGTCGTGAATTCAGTGCAGTGTGATTCTTTGCTGACCCGTTTGTCAGAACATTATAGCTTACTTATTTGTGTAGGCTATAGTGGGGTATCCCATAGGGGGTACAACCCAACTAGGGTTTCCTATTTGTACTCACTTGATTCGTAGTCATTTCATTCACGTTCCTTTCTTCACATGGAATCAGAGCAGGTCCCATCCTAGGGACTCTTCTTTAGGGCCCACCGAAGCGCGCCCGAGGCGCGCGCCTTTTTTTAGCGACCCTCCGAGTCGCCCTTTTCCTTCGCGGCCCCGCCGCCCTACTTCGCGGCCCGACCGCCGCCCTACTCGCGGCCCAGCCGCCGCCCTACCTTAGCGGCCCACCCGCCGCCCTTGCTAGCGGCCCCGCCGTCCCGTCGCGGCCCCGCCACCCCTTCGAGCGGCCCCGCCCCTTCGTTGCGGCCCCGCCACTCTGTCGCGGCCCCGCCACTCCGTCGCGGCCCCGCCACCCCTTCGAGCGGCCCCGCCACTCCGTCGCGGCCCCGCCACCCAGTCGCGGCCCCGCTACCTCTTCGCGCGGCCCCGCCACTTCGTCGCGGCCCCGCCACTCCTTCGAGCGGCCCCGCCACTCTGTCGCGGCCCACCCGCCGCCCTACCTGCGGCCTCCCCGCCGCCCTACCTGCGGCCGTCCGCCGCCCTACCTGCGGCCGTCCCGCCGCCCTACCTGCGGCCTACCCGCCGCCCTACCTGCGGCCGTCCGCCGCCCTACCTGCGGCCGTCCCGCCGCCCTACCTGCGGCCTACCCGCCGCCCTACCTGCGGCTCGCGCGGCCACCCTACCTACGCGGCCCAGTAGCAGCCGAGCCGCCCGGAGCAGCCGAGCCGCCCAGGAGCCACCGAGCCGCCCAGCAGTAGCCGAGCCGCCCAGCAGCAACCGAGCCGCCCGGAGCCGCCGAGCCGCCCAGCAGCAGCCGAGCCGCCCGGAGCCGCCGAGCCGCCCAGCAGCACGCGAGCCGCCCAGGAGCCGCCGAGCCGCCCAGCAGCAGCCGAGCGGCCCAGCAGCAGCCGAGCCGCCCGGGAGCCGAGCCGCCCAGCAACCTAGCGGCCGTGTCGCCAGGCGACCTTCCTCCCGAGCCGCCCGACCTGCCCTGCCCGGTGAGCAGTGCACTGCTGTCACTGCGTACCCTTCCCCTACTGCTTGCACTGCGCCACTATCGTCGTCATGGCTACACCCAGTGTCCTCGCTTTTGACGCTGAGGGTCGAGCCATTGACTTTGAGGTCTGGCTCGACGACCTGCAGCTGTTTTTACAGTGCGACAGGGCCGACGGTCTGTCTCTCTTTGACCTCACCTCTGGCGCCGTCCCTGCCCCTGCTGCTGATGCTGACGCCACTGTTCGCTCTCAGTGGGCCACGCGCGATGCTGCTGCACGTCTTGCTGTGCGTCGCCACCTGCCTACCGCTGAGCGCGCGCACTTTAGCCAGTACAAGAGTGCTCAGACCTTGTACGACGCTGTAGTTGCGCGCTACTCCTCCCCTGCCACTGCTGCACTGAGCCGCCTCATGCTCCCCTTCCTCTTCCCTGACCTTGCCGCCTTTCCCACTGTCGCTGATCTCATCACGCACCTCCGCACTAGTGACACTCGCTACCGCGCTGCGCTTCCTGCTGACTTCTGCGCCAAGAACCTCCCCCCCATGTACATCACTCTCTACTTCCTAGTCACTCGCCTCCCTGACTCCCTTCGTGTAGTCCGAGACCACTTCCTCGCGGTCTGTCCCACCACCCTCACAGTCGACAGCCTCTAGAAGGCCCTTCTTGCAGCAGAGAAGAGCATAGTTGCTGTAGGAGCCTCTCGAGGTGACCCCCGCGCCCCCATCTTTGAGGGGTGTTCTCCTTCCCCTCTCCTGCCCTCTGTCGCCTCTGCCGCTGCGGCCGACCTCGTTGGTCTTGAGTCGGTCGGTGCGGCGTCTGCCCCTAGCGGGAGACGCCGCTCTGGCAAGGGCAAGGGGGGCAAGGGAGCGGGTGGGGCCAGTGGGGGCGGTGGCGGTGGAGATGGAGGCGACGGAGGGAGTGGG